AACGAAATGGTTAAAGGAACTATAATGGCCTTCTGGGACAGGAAGACTAAGGTTTCTGTAAAAAATGTTAAATTAATTTTTATAGTGATGCAAAGTCAGGGAAGAGTTGTTAAGGGATGGCCTCTTGCCACAGGGTGGAGTTTTGTTATGGTATCCTTTTAGAGTCTGCAGGTGTTTGGCAGGAGCTGAAATCAGGGCCAGCTGTGATATTTCAGGTCTGATATTTTCCTCCCCATATTTCTCAGAAGTGAAGTATCAGGATGATGTCTTACACCTGATGTGTTCAACTTGTGTGGTATGGCTGTAACTGCCGGGGGGGCATGGGGGAAGTGCCACTGCATGGTTTTCATTTTATTTTCAGCTGACAACATTCATATAGTAAAACTCATCAACACAAATGGATTCAATATAGTGAAACACCAGATTATAATTTATTAAACTGCCCATTTTTCTGGGTTGTTTTGCTGCTCCCTATATATGCCAGCCATTTAGTTAAAGTAAGAACACTGTATAAAAGAATGCTGAAAGAAATTACAGTGCAAAAAAGAGGAAGATAATGTTCTAAAGGAAAAAAAAAAAAAACAACACCCATCAGTCTCCTCACTTTACCAGCAAAGATCTTTGTTCTTGCGAACTTAGCTGCAGTACAGTGCGTACCTGTTTTTGTTTTGTTTTATCTTTTGGGAGAATTTGAATAGTTTCTATTAAAAATGGTATTCTCTTTTAAGTTTGTTTTGTTTGGAAATCTTCAAACCACATTTTATTTCATACACATATTCCCCAGGGTATGTTAAATGGGACCATACTGAGTTCACTCATAAGATTCTTAAATGTTTTAAGAATTTTTTTTAATGTTTGCACTATCTTGGCTTGGTTAAAAGAGCACATTTTWAAAAAAATAGTTTAAAAAACTTCCAGTATATAATTTTTTATTAAAATAGTCTATACTATACTACTAAGTTTGCAACAACTTTCACAAACATTCCTTTCTCCCTCACATTTTTAAGAAATTTGTTCCCTTAACTAGTCAATCTCCTCTTTCTCTCAGCCATTTTATCCATATATGCACAAGCACACACATAAGCATTCACAGACTGATTGACTTAGCAGTACAAATGCCTGTGGTATTCATTTTAACTTCAGAAATGAATAAGAGATTATAATCAGTGGGAAAAGTGGACATTTCACTTCATTCATGGAAAAACAGTATCACCTGGCACTCCAACTTAGTAAGAAATTTCCTGGGTTTTGGCAGCTCACTTGGAGTATAATTGAAACCGTTAACAATATTAACAAAATGTCCTGGGATCAAAAAATGTGTTGTTTTATCTCAGTTTATAGAAGTTATATAAACCACTCTCAGCCGTCAGAGTTCTGTGGTCTTCTTTGTTAAAATAAAATTTGAAAATGCAACCCACCTTTAGACACTTGAGTTCCTTTAGACCATTTGAATCATCTCCTATAGTTGTCTTCCCCTTCCTCACACTTGCTTTTAGTCATCCCTTGTGTTATTCTAGCCCCTTCCCAGGATTTCTGTCTTCATCTGGTACCAGCCTAGAGCACCCTTTACAGCATTATTGACAGCTGAGCTAACACCCATGCAGTGAATCTTGGCCACTAATGGTGGAAGCCTACACTTGCAATGAAAGGTGTTTGCATTACGGATGTAAATATCCAAAGATCAAGAGGAAGATGATGACAATAAATAAAGTAAACAAAATGTCTAGATCCAATCCTAATGGTAGCACACAAAATGGAAGATGTTTGCAAAGCCTATTTATTATCTATTAGAAGTAGATAAGAGTTTGGCTAAATCAAAGTATCATGGGGTTTGATGCTTTTCTGGAGTCTTTGCAATGGTTGCAAGCAAATGGTGATGAGAAGCAGATTACCGGGTTATGATAAACTCTTTAATTTTACATAACAATGCACATGTTGCTATACAATATTAGTATGCATGGTTATCAAATGCAAGTTGTATTACACCCTTCTTAGAATTCTATTTTCTGATTTAAATTGAGTCTGAAAAAAACACCATATGGGAGCACTGGGAAGAATTATTACAAAGTTTTCATACTTGATGACCGGGTTCAGGTTTACACGTAGGAAAATGGGTGGACTGATGAATGGGTGGATGAAGATTTAGTTGGATTGTCACATCCAGAGGGTAGGGGTCAATGGCTCGGTGAGATATGATATTGGTGACAAGTGGCGTCCCTCAGGGGCACTTACTGGGACCAGAACTATTTAATGTCCTCATCAATGACAGATGCAGGGATCAAGTGCACCCTTAGCAAATCTGCAGATGACATCAAGCTGAGGGGTGCAGTTGACACACCTGAAGGATAGGATGCCATCCAGAGGGACTCGGACAAGCTCGAGAAGTGAGCTGATGGGAACAGCACAAGGTTCAAAAAAGTCAAGTCCAAAGTCCTACACCTAGGTTGAGGCAGTCCTGAGGAGCAATATGAGCTGGGGCATGAGCAGACGGAAAGGAGCCCCGYCAAGAAGGAATAGGGGGTGCTGGGGGATGAGACGCTGGACATGGGCCAGCAATGTGTGCTTGTGTCCCAGAAAGCCAAACATGTCCTAGGCTATATCAAAGGAAGTATGACAAGCAGGTCAAGAGAGACATCTTTCCCTTTTACTCTGTTCTCATGAGAGCCCACCTGGAGTATTGTGTCCAGCTTTAGGGTCCACAGTATAGGAAGGAGCAAGTTGGAGTAGTCCAGAGGAGTACTGTGAAGATGATCAGAGGGCTGGATGGAGCACCACTCCAATAAGGGAAAATCAGAGACAGTTAGGAATGCTCATCCTGGAAAAGAGAAGGCTCCAGGGAGCCCCTCTTGTGGCCTTCCAGTACCTGAACGGGGACTAGCAAGGTCTGTTATGATAGGACAAGGGTTAATGATTTTAAATGGAAAAAGGGTCAATTTAGATTAGCTATAGTAAAGTTTTTTACAATGAGGGTGGGGAAACACAGGAACATGTTGCCCCATCCCTGGAAATATTCAAGATGAGGCTGGATGGGAATTCTGATCTTGTTGAAGATACCCCTACAGATTGCAGTGTTGTTGAAGCAGATGACCTGAGAAAGGTCCTTTCTGACTCAAAATATTCTATGAATTGATGAAAAATCTTGCTGTGATTAGATATGTTCTTGTTGGTGGGTGATGGTTTTTCCCTATTATACCTGGGATTTCATAGTGCAGAAAATACCTAGATTACAGTCTMTAAGGCGATAAACTTCTTCCTCTGTCAGACACCATCAGTGGTTTTTTTTTTCCCATGCTTCCTTTGAACTGAAAATACCTGTGAGAAAATGCTGCTTTCAGAAATGAAACAAATGCAGCTATGCACAAATATCGGCATTCAATTTCCAGCAGCAATAAGAATGCAATGTCCAGGTGCCATGTATTTCAGAGAAGGGTGCAGAAAAGATAAAGCTGTTCAAGGAGTTTCATGAGGAAGAGGTTAGCATGCCCCTTTACAGGAAAACATTTCATAAAACATACCATATCTAACTGCAAAGCACCGTGGTGCCTTTCACAGATAGGCTAACCATATCAAGTAGTAATCTGACACATATATATAAATAATATATAGATAATTATAAAAATACATATGTGAAAATAATATTTAGGTGAACTCTAACAAGAGCAAGGTAGCCAAGCTAACCTCTTTTCAATTTGGGAGGTAATAGCCCACGACATATAAGGTTTTAAAAAACAGTCTCTTTCAGAGTACTGAAAATTCACAGCATCAAAAAGAAGCATGGAATATTTTTCCAATGTTGCCCCAAGTGGAGCCAAGTCTGAGTAAAATAATCCTGCTGTATGTTCYTCAAAGCCCAACCTAAATCCCTGAGAAGGTTGCAAAGTGAAAAATTTGGCCCATGCATACTTTACAGCATGATAGTACATCATTTTAAGGAGAGTGTATTTATTTAATAAAAATAAATTCCCTATAGTCATCTAACAAATATTATTTTATGCCTCCAAAATATAATACTAATATTTACAACAAACATATTTATTATAAAAGTATTCTTTTATGACAGGGATTGTTTTGCCTGTTCCTATTTTCCTGACACTACAATCAGTCATGACAAACACTTATGACAGCAGACATGTACAAAACTGAAAGAAAAAACAAAAAYAGTCAATAATCAATCACTTTTTCTTGCAATTCTCATTAGCAGAAGTCAGCTTAGAGGAGATTCATCACACACTAGAACATACATAAAATACTCAGTTACACTACTCAAGACAGTATAATTCAGTTTATTTTGGGCCCTTTAACCCATCCTAAGCCAGAGGGTAAAAAGCTGGGGAGTGATCAGGGAATAAGCAGACAGGATAAAACTACAGACAATAAAATAYAAAAATATGGTTTATAATAAAGAATGATAATGATAAATAAAAATAACTTATTCACTGAAATATTAAAAATTTAAAATAGATACATATGTGAAGTGTTTTTAGCTACTGAAACTACCAGGCCAAGAAAAGTTTAAGATTCTTTCTTCATATGAACTTTGTATTTCATKTTTCTGTTTCCAGTCAAAATGTTGCCCATTTTTTTCAAACAGAATTGATTCTGGTTATCCATACCCCACACTGAATTTTTTTTTCTTTTGGGTCAGCAAAAAAGGTACTTTCCTGCACATTTATGCAATGAAATGTAATTACATATTATGTTACAGGTTCTTTCTCTATTTTACTGGCTAGTTTTGAAATACAGACTCTACATGAGACATGGAATACCAATGGTTTAATTCATGATGACAAAATCTGTGTTCGGAGCATATAATTTATTTAAGGATCTGTATTTATTTCTTAATATGACCTACCATTGGCCTAAACTCAATCCATCACAAACCTCTCAAATCCCATTTTAAAGTAGCCAATTTCAGGTCTGAGTGGSAGGAAAAGAGATCATTCCTCAGCATTCATAAAACATGTGTAATAATGTACAGAAAATACTTGGTGAAGACCAACCTGAGGATCTGAGAACACTTGCTGCATGTTGTTGATTGGGCCATATGGAACACCACTCCCTTCAAAGAGCTGCAACCATTCGATCGTCTCTTTTTCTGAAAACCTAAGAGCAAATAAGAAGACTGTGGCTTCAACACTGTGCTTTCAGATTCTAAGAAATGTACAGCACATCTCCTCCCTCTCACTGCTTTCATACTCCTCTCCACTGATTTCTTCCCAGTCAGTGAACAACAGAGCAAAAATGTACCACGTATGTTCTTCAGAAATGCAAAACCCAAAGATGTAGGGGAAATAACATCTCTGAACTGATGTCTATTTCTATCCTCTGAAACAACATTCTATCATCTGAAACAATCCAGCAATGATGTAAAGCCAAATTTATCATCAGTTTCAAATAAGGATCAAGGGGCATCCTCCAGTCCTTAATTATACTAAAGTGCTTCACATTTGTTTTCTATTATGTACATATTTAATAACAAAATGATACAGTGTGAGTAAGAAGACTATAAAAATACTGCTCATTAAAAGCTGATATAAAGCACCATCAAAACATACACCAGGATTAACAGTCATATTTTTAGGTCAGACTGATTGTTATTTATTTATTTATTGTATGGTTTAAGATAAATACATAACCTATTCTATGGCATATATACACTGTGCCTATATGTTGGTAAACACATTTCTCCAGGTCTTTGTATCACATGCAAAAAGCTCAGCTCATTTCTTTCTAAGTGTTCAGTTTCATACCTTGCAGCATCACTCTATTTCCACTGTTTTGTTAGTTTTTTGTTCCTCATCTGCCTAGTAGAGTTACAAACATGAAGAAAACACACTGTTGAAACAGTACCAGTCATTGAGTGATAGTATTTTTGGCAGTCATCTGGGATCCTGAATCAAAAGTGAACTTACTTGGAGAAAGTACTTTAAATATCATTAAGATAAATACTACCAAGGTCTACCAGCTTATTAGAAATCAAAGATTGACTTCAGGATACACTCAAAAATGAAAAGAAATAAGATGCAATTGAAAGACCTGATAGAAATGAAATGAATAGAAATCTCTAAAAGGGACACTCAATTACTGGTGTTCTATAGCACCCAGTTTGGTGTTCCTCAAGTGTAATTTGGAACAATGTCAGTAACATTCAGCTTTACTTCTAGCACAAGTTATGGATGGCTCTTTCTCAGTGTTTTTCCTGAAGGCAGCAAATAATTTTAGCAGAATTGGAAGGAGCAATAGAAAAGAAAAATCAAAATAAACAGCCTTAAAAGTGCAAAATGTATTATAAAATGAAGCATGACCCATGAAGAAATGAAGCATAATGCAGCATAGCTTCTAAAGACAACAGATATAAGATTATTGCACAGTCTAATTATATGTAATGTACTTGACTGAATATTAAAGTGATTTCATGGTAAAGATGTAGTCAGCCATAAAGACAGCACTGCTGTTGGACACACCTAAATTGGTCCATCCAATTTAGTACTCTCTTGCTAACTGTGCCTAGAACCAGGTACATTACTGGAAACTGGGAAAAACAGAGAGGCGGATAACCTTCCTTCCTCAGTGATTGCAGCTAGTAGCAAACCATGATTTTAATCTAAAACACAATTTGTATATCACTTCAGTACTCTCCATTTGACAACAATTCTCATAATCCATATATTCTTGTTATTCATAGCCTTCCATATTAAGGTTTGGGGCACAAACTATTGCATAATGGAAATACGATTCACATGAAAAACTGTTTCCCATCACTTACTGATGCTATTTATATAAAACTATTATGTCCCCTGCTACCAACTGAGATGCTTCATAACTCATGGCCCACTAACTCTATTGTTATAAATGGAAAGATTTTCTCAGCTACTACTTTTTGACACTGCAAATTCCACTATCTCATTTCGAACAAGACAGGACAGCTACAAGAGGAATCTTAGATTCAACTTCGTAACCATGGTGCTGAAGATCATCACTAAGAAATTATTGTAATTCTTAACGTATGTATCAACATTCAATTGATCTGTTAGTAATGTATAAGTCCTGCTATGTTATGTCCCTGCACTTCTTTTTAAGAAAGGTAGGGATTTTTAAGGGAAATATCTTCCCAAATCTCAAAACCCAACACTTTCACATTTAAAGAATAGTCTGAAAATGAAGTATTTTCAATAGGAGTGTCTATAATCCACATTGCATAACCAGTATGCCACTCCTGATGTTGTGGTAAACATGGATAATTTTCAAGACATAGATTCTTTTTCAGTAATTATTGTGAGTGACTCAATATATAGTGGAGTTGTGTATGTATGTATATGTATGTTGCAGAATACATGTACATGTTAAGAATAATTTCTATGACTCTACATGAATTGTTACAATTTTAGCTTGTGCTCAGGCTTTTCCTTCCTATGTAACAAACAAAAAAMCCCACAGTTTAGTAGAAAACAAGAGATTGTCTGTTTTGCAAAGAACCTTTTTTGAATAGATCTAACTTTTGCCTTAGTCTTGTTCATTAATTTATTTATTGATACCTGGAGACAATTCCTAAAAGCTTTCAACTCAAAGAAGTACAATCCCAGATTCTATTACCCTCAAGGAATACACAGAGCATTTCCTCTTGAAATTGAAACTCTTTATCTAACTCTGCAGTAGAATAGCTTCCTTTGTTTGTGCTGAAGGGAGGTTGTTGAGAGCATAACTCAAAAAACAGCAAACTGTTTAATAAGTATAAAATAAAATAAACAAAGAGCAAACTCTTTAAAACCAAAACAGAACATCACCACTGCCAATAAAGGTCTAGTGTTCAGATTTTTAGAACAACAGCATGCAACTATTTTGCTCATTCAACTATGTTTTATATGTTGAAACAGCTGCCGTACATCATTAAGGGAGAAATACTGTTTTCAAAGTCTGATAAAAGATAAGGCATGGTTAAAAAAATATTAGCTTTTACCTCTGATGTCAGATGTACAAATTTTGATTTTTTTTTTTGAGTCAATCTGTATGTATTATTCCCCCAACTAAATACAATTTTTGATAATACTTACACAAATAAACACCATAAGCTTTGCATACAATGAAGGGCTGATATTTAGGTTGCTAAGTATCCATTAATAACATGCTCAGCAAAAATATCAAAAGATTTTCAACAAAAACTTTCAAGAAGACTGACATTCACTCCTGAAAATGAAAGCTTGGCCAGCAGGAACTCAGAAGGTCTGGCCAACCTTTTTTCTCTTAATCCTTATTTTAAAATTTAATTCTATGCTTTGTCATTGTTTTTAATAAATATTCTACTTTGCACATTTTTCATTTAATAAAAAGAAAGTATTTGCTTTCTTCATATATGCACATATATAAATGAAATAACAGATGGATATAAATAAAATAACTGTGCATTCCAGGCTAAGCAATGGCCTGTGTTTCAAATCTGAGCAAGCAGGGGAAAAGCAAAACAAAACAAGACTGTAGAGCATCTGAACTCTGAAACATGACACTTGCAAGAGAATCTTTAGCTCAGTGGTACTCAGTGACTGCAGGAGAGCACAACACTGCAATTCACACTACAGCTCCATACATTTTCAGATGAGTGCCTTTTCCTATAAATCCTCCATTAGCTACATATATACACATAATCAGATAAATAATGCCATCTCAGTTATCGATTACTTATTTGTAGAAATGCTTTAAACCTGTAGCTTAGCTTCCTGCAATTATTACCAGTATTTTAGAAGTTCAATAGGATTTGATTTTCATTGTACTACTTTGTGGTATGAAGCTTGAATGCAGGCTCTTTCTGAAAATACTTCTGAAAAAGGAAGGATATGCACCCCAGAAAAGAACAAACCCATTGCTAGGACATTTACTGTAAAGCCTAAACTGAGGCTTACTTCATTAACAGGTAAAAGTCTCCATCATGTCTTATTGGCATTCTAAGCAGTACTGTAAGCCTCCTCTGCACTGAATTACACAGCCGTCATGAAGATACTGAAGTTGCAGTATTGAAACGAGGCATCAGATTCCAGAACATTTAACATTACATATATTTCATGCTTAAAAATATTTTAAGAATAGAAAGTGTAACATAAGCTGAACTAATTGAAATTGGAAGAAATCCAGCTAAGTATATTTTTCTTCAATTGGTAAATCTAGCAGGCATCATTAAATGAAAACATCTTAATTTAAAATATACACTCAGCAAATTCATTAAAAAGTATTACAGCACAATATAAGAAAAATCCTCCAAAAGGCAAAAAATGTAATATAAAATAAAAAAAAATATTTACACCTTGTTTTCTTACACATAATACAAGTGTAGTTTTGCTCCTTGAAAAGCATTCCCTTCTGCTTTCTAACAAATTCAAATTACAAAAAAAAAAAAAAAAAAAAAAAAAAAAAAAAAAGGACGAAATGGATCGTTACATTTTTTTTTTGATTTGTGCAAGGTGGATGAAATTGCTTCAATGAAACACACACAAGTGCTATTAACATATATTAAGCTTCTCATCCTAATAATTATTAACGAAATTTTGTTTCCCTTTTTTAAGCAATATTCTATCTTTCAATAAAACAAAGACTCCAAAAGCATTAATGAATCCATTTTATGTGCATTCCATTTTCTGTTTCCCAGTAAACCTTCAGTCCTTGCCATATCCTATGTAGAAGGGCAACCTTGTTTCTCTAATAGATAACACCATCCAATTCCATGCAAAGTTTAGAAAAACTACTGAAGAAAAATACTGCTGTTTTCTATAGGAAACTTATGGCAATTAATTTAGAGAAGTAATTTGGACAGCTACCAAATACACTTGGAACAGCAACATCTAGGATTAGTAAAAGCTTTTTACATTAGGTCAATCACAAAAATGCTCCTCTGTTCTTGCTAAAGTCCACAATAGCATTCCTGTGTTTTCTAGCACAACCCAAATCTGCACTATGKTTTTTTGTTTATTTTGTTCTATCAACAGTCTCTTTACTTCCAAATATCTACAATATGTTCTCTCTTCACTACTAAATACCTCTTTAATGGGTGTTAAATGAGTAAGAGAGTTTGTACAATTTCTTACAGTAGCATCGATGGAAGACACTATACAAAATAA